GTCTTTTTTGTTTTTTAATATCTTTATTAGTTTGGACAAGATTATCCATCAAAGTTGGATTTTCTCCCATAAGATTAACATGGGGGAATCTAAATATTTAATTGAAAACTTTGTCTCCACTAATTTGAGAGAACGGCTGTGATTAGAGATTATTCTCATACATGCTTTCAATCGTTGGAAAAATCTTCGATGGTGTAATACAATACAAAATAATACAAGCGCAGAAGAGCACGGTGCCGATTTGAGCCGTGTCCATATTTTGTTAAATTAATAGTGGTTTACAGCAACTGGATATAACATTTTACAATATTTATGTAGAAATATGTGCATGATTTAGAAAGTCATTGAGCTGGAAAACTGCAATATACTGCAGACTTTTCAGAGAGGTTACTTCGATGTATTCATTCAGCTTAGGGAAAACATAATAATGTATAGATATGTATATAAATAAGAACTTGAACTCTTAGAGAGCCTTTGAATGTTATTAGACTAACGAGAAGGGTTGTGCATGTTTACTAGCGCTACTCGGCAACAAAAACCATTTAATTTATCTCTAAACTATATATTCTTAAAGTGCACTGAGCAGCCTAAAAATCTATGTAACTTACCCATATAATATGGTTACAAAATGCTCAAACTCGCATTGTGACATTTATAACTCGGCTTATATTTCTCCAACAGAAAATTCATCCGCAGTACAATTTTATTGTGCTCTTACCGTTTCTAATAACATCCAAACACAAAAACCTTGCCTAAAATGGTACCTATGTTGACAAATTATTTACTGTGGCCTATATTACGGACCGTGGCCCACTGGTTTGGTAACATTATTGAAAATAACACGACATTTTGGCTGTAAAAATGGTACAATGAGTAAATACTATTTAATCAGCTACTGTCACGACGGAAAGTCGTATTTATTTCAAACTAGATCACATCATACTTTATAAGATACGTTGATTCACAATGTATGCATCGATATTTACGTAACAGACAATTTACATTAATTTTTGCTTTTGGGAAATGCTTCATTACTATGTAATTCGCATTATTTTTTGCCAATGAAGCTGCACGTCATATAAATTAGGAGGCCAATAACAGTTCAAGAATAAAAGCCAACATTACTTCAAGTTTATTCAACTGCACCTAACATTCCGTAGAAAGATTATATTGACAACTTTATGTAATTGATAAGGCTAAGACAACTAACTGACATCCCCCATTTCTAGGAATTCCAGCTTGAACAGTAACCCAAAAACCAATTTCTCAAAACTTCAAAATTTTAAAAACGCAATTAATATTATTAATGTTTTTACGCTTATTAATCTCTAAACAATGCTAAATGCTCGAAATATGTATAATTTCACTCAATTTATCGCAGTAAGATGAATTAGCGTAAGCCTTGAAGGTAACCGTCGATTTCGACGGGTTTCACCTAGTAGTAAATATTTCATTTCAACCAAGTCAGTAAATGTTTGTAGCAAACTGTTAAATTAACAAACTTATTGACTGTTTACAATTAACATATGTTCTTATTCTCACTTTTAATTTGTGACAACAGCTGGAATCCCATAACAATTTTTGTTTCCCATGTTAATCTCATGGTTAAATACAAAACTTTAAAGGGCCCTAGGGCCTCGCTCTTTAATTATTTCCCTAAAAAGAAAGTTTCCTGCACAACTTCAGGTTACGCTCTTTCCAATGACACCAAAAAATGCGTATTAAATAAGTACTAGCTGATGTACCCGTGCTTCGCAACGGGAAGATGTACTATATCACCTAATCCAAACACTTGTTAAGTAGTTTGAATTTATAAGCGAAAAACCACTAAATTTATACAAAAAACTATAACCATTTTTTATTTTGAAAAAGAGGTTGGCGGCCTCTTTTAACCTTGCATTTACCCGTCCACATAGACTAACCGCCCATGCGTGGAACGTTTACAGCAAAGCAAGGAGTGAGCCAGTACAGTACTGATAAATTTTAGTGACAGTGACCAGGATCCGAACCCACAACATCGCTGCCTTGGGCCCGAAGTCTGCGACGCTACCGACTGAGCCACCGACTCACTATTCCTACATTGTACCAACCTACATTGTAGACTAACTGTTTACATCAAAATATATCAATAACATTATTTTCATAACTTACGGTTATAGAATCTTTTTTCCATAATCAATGACATAGTTTTTGAATAAATAAACCTACTACATAGTCCTGTAATAGTATTTTTCGTACCAAGGGCCGAAAATGAGGTTTTGCCGGCTCGAGATAGTTTTTAAGTTCGAGACGAAGTCGAGAACTTAAACGATCGAGAGCTGCAAAACCATTTCGGTCCGTGGTACGAACGCTATTTTTCACCACACTATACCCTATTACCACTATTCACCACTATAATAATGCACACTGATCGTCAACACAACTACAACTTTAGAAATAATTTGAGGAATCAGCAAAAATATAAAGAAATAGTTGCTAGGCAACGGTGACAATAACACAATTCTATATTGCAATGGTATGGATTTTGATTGTGTATTTAAAACGCATTCATGTTCTAAGTAAGTAAGCGGACAGCTGATTTTGCGGCCCCGGCCTGTAAAAACCTGCTCGGTCCCCAAATTGGCGACAGCTGGCATGGCCAGCAAAACGTAACTTTCAGCCACCAATTAACGTATGTAATACAGCCAAAAACATCATAGTGTGGTGAAAAATATTGTACTTAACTTGTTTGGATCAGCTGTCTGAAGTTGTGAATAAGCATTTGGCAGTTCTGGTTGTTTACATTGAAATGCCAACGAAAAGGTAAACATTGTGAATTTTCTCATGCTTCCATGGAGACCAATTATTAATATTTACTTTTTAAATTTGTGACAACGGCTGGAGTTTCATAACAATATTTGTTTCCTATGTTAATCTTATGGAGAAATACAAAACTTTAAAGGGCCCCTGAGCCTCACTCTCTCATTATTTAGTCCAGTCAAGGAATGAGGTGTAGAGTGCGTGAGCAGGTAACTAAGCGATTCCTTCAGAAACTTGTTCAGGGGGCTTAGGGTGTTAACATACCAAAAGTCCTGACTCCTAGGTGGTGAGCCAGGGGGTGGAGAGGGGAAAAAGGGGGGGGGGAGAAAGGTACACATTTTGGGTTTTTTGATTATATCTCGAAAACTATCAACTTTTTGTATAATATAGTAAATTATAAAATTGAAGAAGATTAAATTTTCTACAAGAAAAGTATATAATGTGTTTATTTTGGTTCAACAGATTACGAGTTATAACTTATTTAATTGATATCTTATTAAAATACTCCTTCCATAAGAAATACATGTAAATTAGTATGCGAAATGGGGCGAATCCTACCAGCCCAAAGGAAATATAAATGATATTCTGGAAATCTTGACAAAATTTCCAGTAATTTGACACTTTAATCATTAAAATTGATCCAAAATTAAGGCGAGGGCGAGGTAACAAAATTTTGAGTTTTGGTGGTTTTTTATTGGATATAAAAAAAAACCTTAAATCATCCCATTTTTTAACGCTCACCCTTGCTTTAATTTTTGACAAAATTTCATGATTAAAGTGTCAAATTACTGGAAATTTTGTCAATATTTCCAGAATATCAGTTATATTTCCTTTGGGCGGATAGGATTCGCCCCATTTCGCATACTAATTTAGATGTATTTCTTATGGAAGGAGTATTTTAATAAGATATCAATTAAATAAGTTATAACTCGTAATCTGTTGAACCAAAATAAACACATTATATACTTTTCTTGTAGAAAATTTAATCTTCTTCAATTTTATAATTTACTATAGTATACAAAAAGTTGATAGTTTTCGAGATATAATCAAAAAACCCAAAATGTGTACCTTTCCCCCCCCTTTTTTCCCCCCTCCACCCCCTGGCTCACCACCTAGGAGTCAGGACTTTTGGTATGTTAACACCCTAAGCCCCCTGAACAAGTTTTTGAAGGAATCGCTTAGTTACCTGCTCACGCACTCTACACCTACTTTTGGATCATTCATTGACTGGACTAATTATCCTAAAAAGAAAGTTTCCTGCACAACTTCACATTACGCTCTTTCCAATGACACCAAAAACATGTCAATCGGTTCAGTAGTTTTGGAGGAGTAATTGTCCCCAAAAATCCTGCTTGCGTATTAAATAAGTATAGATGAATAATTTGTGATATTGTGCGAATATTTGATATTATATTTTTTTCCATGATTTAGGTGCAATGGTAGAACATTATGGCTATGGTAGATGTGTTAACGTACTATAGCATACAGTAAATTTAGAGAAACAAATTTAACCAAATTGTGTCCTTCCTCATTACAATAGCAAAGCTTGAGTATAACTACAATAAGCACTTTATACTTATTTGCCAACCCCGTACGAAGGACGGGTAATCTGCTAGTACAGTATAAGTTTATAACCGGAACAGTAATACTGTATTGTAGAAATTGTAGGTACGTTTTAAATTAATAGTACAGTACTGTGTTTTACCTAGGTGCAAATATGTCTTATCTCCGAGTTCTTAGGTGTGAGACGGGTCTTCTGTTCCATGGATAAACAAATTGAATGAACGTGCAGAGTGAACCATTTCATAGCATCGATTTTCTGGGCAGCGATTTGTTTAGACAAAAACTTACCAATCATCCAGCTGGTATGAAAAGGCCTTAAATCCATTGTGCAATCTTGCTTGTCTTATTAATTTTACTGTTTGACTTGAGAAAAACAAATTTTTGGCTACAATAGTAAATTGAAAGTAACAATTATTGCTGTAAGCTGTACCAAACCGAATTTGTACCGATGGCGGTAATTAGGCCAGAACCGTACCATACTAAGTTTTTGATGCACCACAGACCCCTACTCAATGCCTTTTGTTGTATTTAAAGGGTTCAATAAAAATAATTTTGGCTCCCAAATACTGTTGTTATTGCATTGGAATACCTGGTACTGGAGTTACAGTTAAGTATGTAATATTAATCCCAAAACTTACCTACAGTCGTGATAGTGTACAACAAGGAGTTTGGTACAGAGTGGTTTAACTGCTTGTAGCACTCGTTGAGGACAGCAAACCTGGTTTTAGGTTCTGTTATTGGAGTAGTATCATCCAGTTTCGGCCCAAGTAACTCACTGCAGATAGATTCACACCTTTCCACAGCGTCTTTTGGAGGCGAGTAATCCTTGAGGGGCCTCAAAAATCTAGCACACAAGTAAATAATATTTTATCAGTTACTTGGACAATAGCCCAACTGTATTCTAAAGAAAAGTCCAATTTAAAATTAACCCTCTTAACACGTTCGCTACCGCAATAGTACAACATTTTTCCTTCATATGGACCAGCGACGGCTAGTCACATTAAAATAGACTGACGTTGCATATTTGCGTCGGAGTTCCAATGTTATCAAAACGCTTATATCTTTGTAACGGTCAATTTGAAGGCACTGAATTCTTTGCAGTGCTCTACAGGGATATCTGACACACAACTGGGTCGCTTGGTCTGTGGATATGATGATTGGTGACGTCATATGATAGTTGGAAAAACTGTTCTTTACTTTGCTGCATCACTGTATGTATGCTGCAATATCCCATGTAGCTTCTATATTTGTTCAATTATAGACTTTTCTTGAAAAAGCTGTTTTTTTACACTTAATTTTACCAAAAAACATAAACAATCATGAACTGTCGCATATATGCGGCCCTTGGGCTATTTGAAGAAAAATATAATAATTTTCACTATTGTCTTCGCTATAGACCGTGTGTCGCAAATATGCGACATTTCAAAAGATTATCAAAAATATAAAAACAAGAATATATTATTTACAAACAAGATTGCAGATTATTACAAAGGAAATGATCACTCTTTAACAGGTTTTGGTCTGTGGTCTGCGTGTACTGTTAACCAAGTGACAGCCAGTCTATGTGTAAGATTAAATTGTATACCTCGGTCAAAGGCAATGATCGCGGCGTCGCATTTGGTAGCGAACGTGTTAATTCATGTTATGGTGATTAAATTCATGTCTTTTGTGGTAGGATATATTGTGCACATGCTTTGCATAATAGAATTTATTATAGTGGCATAATTCATATAGATACTACTGTACTTCAAACTGTTCATACACATACCGCAGCACAGCACATACAAAATTGTACTTATTTCCACAATGTAGAATACTCTTATTTTAGACATTTAATTTATTTCTCGGTAGGCCTACCTATTTTCAAATTTTAAGTTGTACTATGCAAATAAGCTTATGGTACAATTTATTCCTATAACAACCATTAGACATGAAACTAGCCTAATCATGATTGATCAGTAAAAATTAAGCCTACTGACAGTGATATTTAGGTGTTGTTCATACTAAGAGGGTTGTCTCCAGCGAGCTCCAATTGCAGCCAAGCAAGCTACTGAAAATCTGACACCGGTTAGCACTGTGATCTTTACCTCTCTGACTACCATACAAGCTGGTTTCAAAAGTTGACGCTCCCGCCAATTATGAATATTATTTAGTGATTAATCTTATGGTCTAAGTGGTCAACTTGTAAATGTGAAGAGGCGTTTGACGCTATTAACCGTGAGCAACTGGTGGCGCAAGTGGACACAGTTCCACAGCTTATTGGAACCTGGACACTTATAGTGGTGCAACCACTAAAGATTTTTATTCAGTACTGTGTACTTGTTGTTGTCACTTATTATTCTTGTGTCAAACATCGTGATGAGCAGTTCGGATCTTCTTCTTCTTTGTCTATTATTAAAAAAAGAGGTGAAGAGTCAGGCAATTTAGAAAACATTCCATTTTAGTGCCTAGGTTCAGCAAAGGAATATTTTACACTTTTTATATCCCCTTTGTCCCTTTGTGCTCGCCCTAGAATATCCAAAACAACTCCCAGATGTCTAGAATTCCAATTAATAAACTTCATTCGACGAGATGTTTTCCTACTTTAGAGAGTGAACTAGGCATGATGGTGAACTAATTAATGTATTCCTGCCAAGGAAAAACTTGAGCTTACACTTAGGTAAGTAACACTATTGCTTTATGTAATGTCTTCATCTAATTAAGCTCTCTAAAAACGACTGTGATAATGTTGCGTAAAAATTCTGTGAAGGGTTTGAGAAACCCTTCTTAAATAATTATCAAAGTCAATATAATTGGTAAATAAAATCAAACATTTAAATACAATAGTGGAACAGGGCTAATTCAAACTTCTATAATTCAAAATCTTCCTTTATTAAGTAGAATATTTCTCCTAGTACCTAGCATTTCATACACAGTCAATGCTAAATAATCGTGGTTAATTCCAATGAGGTCAGATAGAAAAAGGAAATAATAATAAACTGGTAATAAAGACACTGATACAGTATACAAAATAATAAAAAAAACAAAAATATAAAAGGTTAGAAGAACACCATGTCACACTTGAGTCAAATTTAAGGGAGACTGTATGACAGGGTTTGTTTGTTTAGGTTTTTAGCGAATTCGCGTGCAAGTCAGTGTAATGGACTCCATGTACTGCAATGCCCTCCCAACTGCCTGGCCACTAAAACGGTGGCGACACCAGTTGTTGCTGGGCAGAAACACTCCCGGCAACTTCACCGACAACTTTTTCGGTGGCGCCACCGATCAACACGCAGCTAATAGGCACCATTTGAGTCCATGCCCCTCAACGCATTGGCCACCGGTGTCGCCAGTAGTTGCCACTGATGTCAGATTTGAATTAGATGTCTTAGTCATGACTGGAGCTTGTTTATTGGAGACTTTAACTGTTGACAACCCTTTTAGTACCTATGTACATACTTGAATTCTTTATAGTAAGTTGTATTCTTTATAGAAGGAAAAGTATGAATTAGGCCTTAAACATACCTATTTTAAATATTCATAATATTTTCTAATGAAAGACAAACCTACCCTCGTGCCGCCATTCCAATTACGACAGACTCTATCTTTTTCCCTGGTTGTATTGGGTTCAGCCACACTTTTTTTCTTGATACCCAATGTTTGGAGCGACATTGTGTGTATGGAACACTATGCTGGAAAAATACCAACAACTTAAGTAGGTAGTTACAACATCATTTTTAAATATACTTAATACTTTACTTTAATACTTTTCAATGAAATTGCGACCATACAAAGTAGATATTTCAAGCCAAGTATGAAGGGAGATGAGTGTAGGATGAGTGGTGCGATCTTGTAGTCTTGTTAGTGACTAAGGCAGACTTATTCCAAAAAAACAGCTGTTAATTAATAGCCCATACGGCTAATGGCAACTAAGGGACCTATAGTTTATAGTGGAATCCGAACCACATTTATGCCTTGGTATATAAGAATTGGTATAATTTTCAGGATAGTACTGCGGATAGTGGTAGTACTCACTCGTGCTGACGTTAATCCACAGTGCATGCCTAAAAAATATCCACGATTAGTAACCTCCTAGAAGCTGGATTACAGGAAGACGCCACCCTTCCCAGTTACAGTGTATGGAACATTATGCTGGAAAAATACCTACAACTTAAGTAGTTACTACATCATTTTTAAATATAAAAATACATTTAGCATACTTTGTATACCCAGTACACCAAGTATGCTAAGTAGGCCTACTTAAACCAAGTATTTAAGTAGACCTAGAATTAAAAGTATTAGGTAATTTAAGTTGAATGTCACAAATACTTGATTGTGTTTATAAGTTATTACTTAGGCTAAATATCTCTCATTAGAAAGGCTAACTTTAATGGGTAGTTAAGTGACTTAATTTTTGTGATAAAAATATGAACAATTTTAAGAAAAAAAATTAAAACCTTTTACTTGTAACTTGAGTTGTTTCCTCTATCTCCATTTCAATATTATAAAAATGTCTGTAGGCCCTAATCATGAATAAAGTTAGCAGTCATGAGTTTTGGAAAATTAACCTTTAGGAAAGTGGAGTAAGACAATAGGGCTTAGGCAGACGGACCAGTGCAGATTCTGCCTCTACGAAACAGAATCCGCTGAGCACATATGGCTGGAATGTCCGGCGATAGCCCAGAAGAGGTTGAAACACCTAGGAAAGGCATTTCCGATGCCTACTGAAACACGAGAAATGGGTGTGCACCAGCTGATTGGCTTCGCAAGAAGACTTCGGTTGGGTGACTAAGCTAAAAGGGTGTTACAAAAGATCTTGTAGGTCGAGGTAGCTAGGGGTAATGATACCCCAGCCCCATAAGAGAAAGAGAAAACCCAAATGTGGAGGAAGCAGCTGCCTAAGGCCCCTTTTATACTCTGTGGAACGCCACTGCGTTCGACAGCCCTGTAAGTGCATTGAGTTAAATGGGTGCTTTTATACTCTGCAACGGCTGCCGCACGCTGCTGCAGATGGCTAGATGCACGACGGCGCACCTAGGAGCCGCAGAAACTTGTGGCCTCTAGGTGCATAGCGTTATATGGGAGCTTTTATACTCAGCGGCGCTGTCAATTTCTGCCAACTGATCAAAACAAACTTAGCCCAACACGGCGCTGCCTTGCCTCCCTCATTTCACTTTCAGTTGCCTGTGTGGTAGGTGGTTTTGTTTTTCTTTTCTGGGAATCAGTTTGTAAGTATTTTGTATGCAAAATGACAAAACCTACTACAACTTAAATCAACATTGAACAGTTCATCGACGAAATAAAGTCTAGACTAAGTTTAATTAAAATATAGAAAAAATAACTAAATATTCCTATGCCCATCCATCTCTCACTCACTACAGATGAACACTATTGGTGTGGTGAATAGAATAGAAGTTCTTAAGTTTGTATCCCTGATACCCCCGCCCATACCATGGCCGCCGCACAAACAGCCGTCGAGCGCGGCGACGTGCGGCATGCAAGCCTCTTCAGGCAGCCAGTCTACCTCTTCCTTCTTTTAAATATAAAATTTATAACTTGCTTGTTGAAAATCCATACAATTAAAGAGTTCATGGACCACTAGAAATAGAAATTGATAAAACTAATTAAAGTTAAATTCTCCATATTGTAGATTTAGAATTGTTAAGTTTAAATATCTGTTTATTATTGTGTTTATTTCCATGTAACATGACAAATGACAATGCCTATTTCTATGTAACTACTTGGTAAATGCCAATAAATATTCTTAGCAGTGAGATTTCATACTACGTTTTAAGTTTTTGGACATAACATTAACTCATGCTGTAGGCTTATTGTGGTTGGATTTAGACTAGTGAATAGCCAAACTCATACAATAGGTATACAAAGGAACAGTAAAAAAAATTCAAACACAATTAAAAAGAATTTTTCATTGATGGAATATCTTCCAAACATTACAGTACCTGTTGTTCAAAGGTTTATTGCGGACATTTTCCATCACGAATGTAAAAAAACAATACACAACGTTTCGGGATCTGGAATCTGATCCCGTCCTCAGGTGAAAAAACTTAACTAACACATTACAACTAACAATACAATAATGCGTTCCAGATCCCAAAACGTTGTGTATTGTTTTTTTACATTCGTGATGGAAAATGTCCGCAATAAACCTTTGAACAACATTAACTCACCATCACCAACAATGAACTTCAAACAAAGAATTACAGTACCTAACTTAACTTAGGCCTACATAAACTTGGACAATGTGTTAAAAAAATTATCTTCCATCCGTCACACCGCTTTGTCTGTTGGTCTTGAGCTAAATAACTTAGTGAATATGATAATAAAAAAACATTTGTTTTTTGGAAATAGTTTAAGGATACTCTTAATGGTTATAATAAAGGGTTAAACACATTAAGTTAAGTTACTTGATAGCAGCTTCAATATAACATTGTTAAAATAGGCCTTCTACGCCGCGCCGCCAGTGATGATAAAAGAGGCCACGAATAGGCCTGAAAAATCAACCTGAAAATCTTTATATACACAGAAAGCGCATCAAAGAGCACCGACCGAAACCAACATCATTGCTTTTAAAACTGAGCACAGGAAAAGAATACTCTTAAGATTAAAAAATAATTGGTAATCAAATTTTGATAAAGGACGTTAACTTATAGCCTAAGTTTATGTTGTTTGTGTTAACGAATTTCCCATATAGGGAATAAGCTATTACCGTAGTACTCATGGTAAGACCTGGACCCGGGACCGATTTCCTTTTTTGTTTTGTGGTCCCTAGAGGCCAAAAACACCATCCGTTCAAATTCATATATATATATACAAGTTTTACGAGAAGCCATCAAAATTTGACTACCAGCTTGCTTTTCAACAGTTGATACAGGATTTTAGAAAAAAAGGATTAAAAACATTATATTGTTCGCCAATGGGATGTGTCAGGGACTTGATTCCACCCTCCATTTTTATTGACAACATAAAAAAATTTCAAAGGTCTACCGGTGCTAGCGTAAATGTCATAGTTTATGAGGAAATGTCAACTAGAAAACTAAGAAATGGCCTTTCATATGTTGAATTTGTCAAGATGCTACAACAATCCTTCGGTGTCCCAAGACAGTCTCATATTTCCAACATTCAAGAAACCTTCTCAAATGGTACCGAAGCTGTTTGTGTTGATGATTCTGGCAACAGGGGAGACCATTCCTCAAGTGATCTTTCCCAACATGACACCATGTCTTCTGAATCTCTTGTAAATTCTACTGATCTAACCAACATGGACACAGCAAACATTACATCACCAACTACTGAGCTGCACCCTACTGCCTCCGGTCCTATACTGCTAGAGTCTGCACTCAGTGATAAAGTGAGAGTGTCTCCGGGTGTTCTCACTCACAGTGAGACACTAAAGCAGAGTAATGGTGTGTGTGCGGGGGTTGCTGTGATCAGCCCAAGTGTAAATATTAAGGAAGTATGTAAATCTAAATGTCAAATTAATGTAAAAAATACCACTGTAAATAGTACTATGTTAGATGAACAAATCGATGAAGTTTTTTTTAGAAATAACAAAACAAATAACATATTACCGGTAGCTGCAATTATGGATGATTTTTATTTTACTGTAAATAATAATGCTAAAACAAATAACAATGAAAATCAAGAATACTTAAAAATTTTACAGGTTAATATCCAGTCTATTAGGAACAAAATGTTAGAATTAGAACACTTTTGTGCCATAGAGCAAGTGCAGGTAATATGTGTGTCTGAACATTGGTTAGAGGAGCGGGAAGTTGAATTCTTTGTTCCTAAAGATTTTATTGCTGCAGATATCATGTGTAGGAAAAGTATAAAAAATGGTGGGGTAGGAATATTTTTAAGAGAAGGGTTAACATTCACCAAAATAGATGTTAGCTTATTTTGCATTGAGCTTCATTGTGAATTTAGCTGTATTAAAATAATTGATTATGATCTTATAGTTTTAAATGTTTACAGATCCCCTAGTGGTGATATTGGTTTGTTTCTGGAAAATGTTGAGCTTGCTGTGAAAAAGCTGTTAAAGTCATTTAAATTTGTAGCCATTGCAGGTGATTTTAACATAGAAATGATAAAAATGGAAAAAAAGACATCTATTGAATTTGCCAATCTGTTGCGAAGTCTAAATTTAGTTTGTACAAATAAAAAACCTACAAGAGGAAAATCATGTATAGATAATATAATTGTAAACTTTTCATCAAATTTATATAACATAAATACAGTAGGAGGTTGTTTTGCAGACCATAAACCTTTAATATTAGATTTTTTTCAGAAAACTATAAAACAATGTAACAACTCAAAAGAAGGAACAAAACAAATAATACGAAGGCAAAATGAAAGTAATATTAAACACTTTGTTGATCAATTGGTACGGTACAAGAGAAATGGGAAATGATAATGGACTATAAAATGGGTAAAATAAATGAGCAATTACTTTTTGATGAATTTTTTAAGAGATTAGTATCTTTGTGGCATTTTAGTTCCCCATTAGTTAAGTGCAAACAAAACAATAGACATAAGAAAGGAAAACTTAATTGGTATAATGAAAAGTTAAGGAAACTTAGGGAAAAAATGTTTCTTTGTTTTTCTGTTTATAAGAGCTTACTCAAACATAAATCAAATAATTTGGAAAATGCCTATAGAACCTATATTGATTGTAAAAAGGCCTACAATCGTGAAATAAAATTAGCCAAAAAGCAAGGTTTTGAAAGATATATTGATAAGGCCCCCAACAGTTGCAAGGCTGCTTGGGAAGTTATATCGCATGAATATTCTCCTACATCAACTAAGTCGGAGGTTTTGGATGCTGACAATCTCAATAACTATTTTATTGAATGTGTTAATGAGCTAGAAAACAAAATCCCTCTCACCTACACACCTGCGCATGAGTTGCTGGGGACTCCCCCTATAGGACAATTACATTTCCAATGGAGGGAGGTATCATGGCAAGAAGTTAACAATGTTGTAGCTAATTTCTCAAATTCAAAAGCTATGGATCATTACTGGTTTTCAAATTATAGCATCAAACAAATAATTCATTTTATAAGTGAGCCTCTGGCTTTTTGTATTAGGAAATGTTTGAAAATTGGTTATTTCTCTGACCTTCTCAAAATTTC